TTTTAACAGTGTTACTTTTTTATATATATTATTATTTTTATTAAAAAAAGTTTTCTTATTATATGTACGGGATTTTTTTTATACAATGTAAACGAACTAGTTTATATTTATGATCACGTATTTGTAAAGCTTTGATAAAAGACAAAAAAAAAAAAAAAAAGTTTATTTGATAAAAGTTAAGAAAAACCTGCAACCATATTAGCAAAAACTTAATACAAAAAGTTAAAATTTATTCTGTTTCTAATAAAGAAAAAAAAAATTAGAAACAAACAACATATCTTCGCAGACAGCGTCATAAGGCATGCGTTGGGAGAAAACATTGAACAAAACGGGTAATAAAACTTATTAACGCGTTATGTACAATAGAAAACGGGTTATTAACGCAGGTTTATAAATTTTTTTTCCCCAACACACTATTACGCTGCCGCAACTCCAAGGATATACATAGTTATATATATATATATATATATATATATATATATATATATATATATATATATATATATATATATATATATATATATATATATATATATATATATATATATATATATATATATATATATATATATATATATATAGAACTATTTATTAGCGAAAACATATGAAAAACAAAATTTTTTATATAATATATATAGTATATTTGATAAATAAACCTCTACAATTTTTTTGGTTCAACAACTTGATTATGATTAATAACAACTCTGCAAATATAAATTTTCTAATGATCTAAATCTTTATAAATTAGATATTTTATTTTATATCTTAATTTTAAATTAAATAAATTATATTTATCTTAACTATAAATTAAATCTTTATAAATTAGATAATAAATAGAAAAACAAGCATATAATAACACAATTATATCCTAAACCAAAATTCAATCATGCAAGGCAAATTATTAAACTTTTTGAAAAGAAAAAAAACATATTTTTTTTCAAAGAGCCAAAGTATTAACAATACTATAGATAAACTTTATTTATAAGAAAATGTTGTCATGGCTTTTATCCCAATTATTAAAAGCATTTGAAAGCATGAAACTACCCATAAATATCTTTTAATGGTAGACACCATCTAAGAATTATAGTAATCTATATTTTCAAAATTTACATGTATAACATGAAGCTTTAAATTTAAAAGTACAATTTAAAAAAGATTACAATAAACTAATTACTTATAAAATTTTTAAAAGATTTTATAAATACTCAATGTCTATTTAGACATTTTGAAAAGATTACGATTTTGAAAACTTGAAACTTTAAATTTAAATTTTAAAAAACTGAAACTTTAATTCTACCTCAAAGAAAATAGATATATATTGAAAAGTATTTTTATTTCTTTTTAAAAATTTAAAAATGCTTTTAAACTTACTCCCTCCAATATAATTATATAATATATATAGTATATATGATAAATAAACCTCAGCAATTTCCTTGGTTTAACAACTCGATTATGATTAATAACAGCTCTGTAAACATGAATTTTCTAATAACCTAAATAAATTACAGATAGACAAACATAAATAACACAATTAAATCCTAAACCAAAATTCATTCATGCAAGACAAATTATTTTATATTTATTGAAGAGCCAGAAATATATTTTTTTTCAAAGAGAAAAAGTATTAACAATATTAAAGATAAATTTTATTTATATCAAAATTTTCAATAAAAATTAAATTAAGATAAATTTATAACAAAATGTTGTCATGGCTTTTATCCCAATAACCAAAACTATGTGAAAGCATGAAACTACCCATAAATATATTTTAACGCTAAACATCTAAGAATTAAAGTAATCTATAACACGAAGCTTTAAATTTAAAATTACAATTTAAAAAAGATTACAATAAATTAATTACTTTTAAATTTAAAAAAAATTTTAGATTACCTATAATTTTAAGCTACTAAACATTATCTACTTAATGTCAACTTGGGCATTTTGAACTCGTACCATGAAAGGTTGAAAGGAAATCTTTAAGAAAGCACGCGATAAAGAAAAGTCTAGAAACTACTTAAAAAGTGTATTTTACAGATACAGAACCGTACCGTAACTATAAAACAATACGCGTAACTATGCGCACTAATAATAATAATAATAATAATAATAATAATAATAATAATATTCATTCGGCTATTAATTATAGAGATTAGTAACGCGATCATATTGGTAAACTCTCAAATATTAGTAACGCGATAAATATTAGTAAACTCTCCTCTGGCCCATGGTCAAAGGAGAGTTTTTACAATTTTTAGTTTACTAAGCGATTGTTCACCCTCAGCAACTGACTTAGGAATAGTGTTGAAAATCCAGAAAATGATACAACTGTATGAAAAAAAAGCGTTTAAGCTTCTTCTACAAGATTAGATCGAATATCGCGGAAATTGTTAAAACGGCAAACTTATTAAATGAGAATCTTTTTGTTTACATCTCTCAGATAAAGTTAGCTACAATTACAGTCTCTTAGAAAATTCGTAACCAAGTGTTCCTGACCCGTTTAAGATTTTCAAGTAGCTGTCCAATCAAATGTAGATCATCATTAATGGTAATGGCTGCAGATTGTAGAAGAAGACTAACAGTTACTCACTGGTCAAAAATAGATTTTCACGACATGTTTAGTAGCTGCCAACATTTCTCTAGGCAAGTGGTTTGATCAAGTCGAAAAGAGAGCTTCGTGTTGTCATGTCTATGCAGTAAAATCCAAGTTGCTTCGGTGAGAATCTTCCATTGAAAAAACTAAAAATAAGTACCAAGATTCGGCATTTTTAAAGAATACTTTGATCTCAATGACTGATTCAACTACGTACACATCAGCCAAATTTAGATTGTGAGCGCTACCGGTCCAATAAGCGACATTGGTAAGGAAGGAGGCAAAAACTTCTAGTTAAATGGTGTCCCGCGGTATTCCGTGATAAGACCGTAAGGACTTCTAGGAGCACCTAAATAACCTAAAAAAAAAAGTTATGAGTTTCCTCCATTGATCCCTTGTTCCTCTGTTTTAAGAAAGAAGGGACAATTACCTACTTTTAAAAACTGCTTTTGTGCTGGGTTTTTATTTTTTTAATAATTACATCTTGATCTTTTTGACTCAAAACAACTGGTCACAAATAGGGGTTAGCAGTAATTATTACCGAATCAGGTTGAACATCACACTCTTCACTGTAAGATATAAAGTTTCTCGTTCTGACTCTAATGATTAACTTTGAAATTCTTTAGCTCAGATTTAGGGAAATTTTTTGAGCCCTCTACTGATCCACAGTTCTTCAAACCACACATATTGAGTGTAGTAAATTACACGTATTGAGTGCAGAAAAGAGGCAAAAGCTCAAATATTTGATAGATATTCAGGTGCTGGTAGAGGCAAAGTTGCTTATTTGTCTAAAAAATGCATACTTCAAAGACAAATACTACCTAAAAGAGTGGCGCTTTTATCGTGAAATCGACAATAAATTCTCATGTGTTTTTTTTTTTTTTTTTTGCAAGAAGTTGAAGCGAATCCATGGAGCGCATTACCAAACGAAGTTTTCAGTTCTAATAGTGTTGACTGCTTCAAAGCAATATTTGATCAGTTACCATTATAATTACCGCATTGCATCATCTTCCAAACAATCAAGCATGAGCTAGCATTGCTAACTGTTTACAGGCTTACGGAATACGCCTGCTTCCATCTAATTCTACTTCAATAAATTGTATTTTTTTCGTAAAAAATAATTTAAAATTAATTATAATAATAGAATTTAAATTTTAAATTATTTTTTTCATGAGCATTTTTATTCCGAATACTAAAGCTTTAATCTCAAGTACAAAAACTAAGCAAATTTCAAATTGTCAGTCATTAAAATACTTTATATTTATTGTAAAAAAAAATAATAATAATAAAAATAAATAAATAAATAACCAACGGATTGCCCGGCGCCCCTTAAAGTATGGCGCCCAGGTCAATTTGCCCCCTTTGCCCCTCCCTCTCGAAGGCCCTGCATTTAATATAACATGATATAATGTTATAATATAATATGTAATATAATATAATACATTTAATATAATATAATACATTTAATATAATATTTAATATAATATATTATAATACAATATAATACATTTATTTTTATATATGTATTAAACTATTAATGGTTTAATACATATATAAAAATTAATGTTGAAGAAAAACCAACATTAATTCTCTTTCCTATAAACAAGATTACAAAACATCATATATTTGTTTTTAACAAATTTTGACACATAAAAACCTATATTAAAATGTTTCCCTGTCTATAGTGAATATTTTAAAGCTTTTAATATATGCAATAGTCATTGAACAATTCATGATCGAATAAGTTACTTAATGGATATACAAGTAAATATACTGGCTTTTTCGGTTTACAAAAATGTCTTTTTTTTTCTCGGACCTCGAAATTTTTTTTTAATGGTGTTCACATGACCTTGGGACATTTTTTTTGGTTTGAACCTACTTCCACCAGGGTGTGTCATATTAATTAAAATAAGTATAGATTTTTATTACAAATTCCTTATTTTTTATTCTTTCTTTTTAGTTTAAATGTAAACCAACTCGTATTTAGTATTTTTTTATTAATTTATTTTTTATTATTTGTTTTGCTTAATACTTTTATCTTTGTACAATGTTTAAAGGAAATACAACCTACTTAACATACTCTCTAACAACCTACTTAACATACTCCTTAACATACTCCTTAACATACAACCTACTTAACATACTCCGAACATACTCCTACTAAAATACACGCTCTTACTCAAATACATGCTTCAACTCTAATACATGGTCCAACTCAAATACCAATTCCTACTCAAATACCTATTTCTACGCCAATTCTTAAAATTTTTGTAAAACTTAATATTTTAGTCTTTGATTGCACACAAAACACAAAAATTTAGATGTTGGATAATTACAGTTGTAATTATATTTTATGCTAGTTTTTTATCATACATACAAAATATAAATAATTTTTTTAAAATATAACAAGGTTTCCAAATCAAGTTTCGCATTTAATTTATTTGCAAACTGGAATACCAGTCTACTTAAGAGCATCGACAATATACAAAAAAGACGGAGGTCATGTTCCAAATCTATCTGTTGGTGTTCTTTTACCTGATGACACAAGTATGTTTCCAATCTCGCATAATTTATTAAGAAATGTAAGCATTCAAAATCACCGCATCAAAAATGAAGATATTTTAATCAAAAGCAAAATGCGTAAGATTTTTTCATAGTTTGCTTTTTATTGTCATTAATAAACATTTAAGTTTAACAACGTGTTTAAAATAATTTTTAGAAACATTTGGGTTATTTTATATAACATTGTTTTTAATATATGCATAATATATATATATATATATAAATATATATATATATATATATATATATATATATATATATATATATATATATATATATATATATATATATATATATATATATATATATATATAATAAAATATATAATAATATAATATATAAATATATATAATAAAAATATATAATAATATAATATATAATAAATATATAATATATACATACATATATACAGAGCCTATCAGAAAAAAAGTGAGATCCGGGTTAACTAATACTTTAGGGACCCTAATACTTTAGAGACCCCTAAACTTTTTTATACTTTTTTATACATCAAACTTTGTACGGATTTTTATATTGAATTTTGTACATCAAACTTTGTGCGGATTTTTATATCGAATTTTGTACGGCCGGTTACTACGGTTACAACTTGGCAATAACTCAAGAAATACTTAATGATTTAATTTTTTTTTTTTTTTTATGTTGACATTTTATATTTAATGAGATTTTATTTATATTTCGTACATGTCTGTCAATATATTAAGTATAACAAGCCATGTAATTTAATATTTATGTGTATCAAATACAGCTTTTTTTCTCTTTTTGATTATCTAATAGCTTGTTATAAGTGACTCTAATGCCACTTATGTTGTACTGTTATATGTGACTCTAATGCCACTAACATCTAATGCCACTAAGAGACTTTACTAAACTGAAATTATTTTAACAAATTAAGTATACAAAAATATCGAAACTAAAAGCGATTTCTTGATGACATGACCACATGGTCTTCTGCAAGTTTTCCGCGTTCTTTTAACAGCGTTACTTTTTTATATTTATTATTTGTGCTAAATTTAATATTTTTACTGAAAAATGTTCCTATTACATGTACGATATTTTATTTTATACATTGTAAACTAATCAGTTTATATTATGATCACGTATTTGTAAAATTTTGATAAAAAAAAAAAAAAAAAACAAAAAAAAAACGAGTTAACAGTTGAATAATCGGAAAAAGATTTTCCGATCAAAATCACAAATTACAAATTTATTATAAATTACAAAATTACAAATTTTATACTAAAATCTATTCAAAAATTGCAAAGTTATAAGAGACTTATTAAATCAAATGAAAAGAGACGGTGGAAAGATAAAATGTTTATTTTTTAATAAAAACATAGTGAATTTGATCATTTGGTTAATTACAAAAAATACATGCTAACCTCTCTTCGAATAGTTCGAAACCTCTCTTGCCAGTTCGAATGCAGTTGTTAAGTCAGTTAAACTTTTTAATCGAGAAAATTTATGCCTTACTGAGGACAAGAAAACGCTTTACAAAAAGAATTTCTTACAATTGCCCAGTCATCAATATTATTATCATTCAAAAAGTGCCCATGTCACCAACAAATTTAAGTATAATAAGACTGAAAATTTTGCTTTAAAAATCTTTGTGTGGCAAGCGGTTTGCTCTTGTTTGCTTTAAAAGTGCTTCATTCGTCAGTCGAAAAACTTTGACTTTCGATTTGTAGATCATTTAATGTCTTCAGAAACGTCTTTTGCCATTTATTAACAAATGCAGCAAGAAAGTTATATTTTGACCGTATTTGGCAACGATCCACTATTCTAAGAAGACAAGGAGAAGTTCAACCAAAATGAAATTGAAATCGTCCCAAAGGATGCGAATCCTCTAAACTGCCCTTAGCAGTGCCTTATCGAAAGTTACTAGGCGATTGTAAAATGAATCTTGTTGAAAAGTAACAAATCAACGATAGATGACAAAAAATGCAAAAATGGGTGATAGTATCAAAAAAAGGTCAATAAAAACAAGATCCAGGCCATGATGGCACTCATGATGACTATTCTCGAAAAAAGTTTCTAATTGTCTTCTGAAATGTATACAAACTGATCAAAAACTTTTAATGCTGCAACAGATTTCTTTATATTCTATAATTTGAAATTAATTAGTTAAATATTTCTTGAGTTGTTGTTAAGTATATCCGGTCGGAAATTACTGAGCCCAATCGATAAAAGTACTTATACTTTTACAAAACTTCACAATTCAAAACAATCGTGGTTTTAAGAGTACCATAAAAAAATAAAGATTTTAAAAAAGAGTGTTAGCGTTAATTTCATTAAAATAATTAAAAAAAGCGGACACCAAAAAATAAACAAACCGACAAGATAGCAAGTTAAATAAAATGTTGAAAAAAGCAGGGGTGGGGAGTCGTAAAAAAAGAGTAACGACTCCGACTCCAGCTGTTGAAATTTTTTGAGTACAACTCCGACTCCGACTCCAACTCCGACTCCAAAGCAAAATTTTTGAAACATTCTTTGAATTCTTTAAAAAATATTGCGCGATAAGTTGAAATTTTTTTTTGACAAATTTATGAAACATTCTTTGAGATTTAGTATGAACATAAGGTTAATTAAATGTTTTGTACACGCACATGCAATACCAAGAAATTTTACTATCGGAGTCGGAGTCGCGATATTTTTCAGCGACTCCGACTCCGCTAAAATTGTAGCAACTCCGCAACTCCGACTCCGACTCCACAGCCCTGGTAAAAAGTCAATGAACAATGGGTAATGAAAATTTTTAAAAAACAGTCAATTGTTTAATTCAGTCAATTGCTTAACGGTCTTTATAACTTTAATTTTGTGTTACAAAAGCCGTTATAGTTATTTTGTTTTTTATGCTGTAAAATCTAAGACATAAAAAAATTAACTCAGTTTTTGATTTTTTTTTCTTTATTTTCCTTTTTTTTCAACGGTAAAAAACACTGCGTCATCTGCATCAAAAAAACACCTCATCTGCCGCCATCTGCGATGTGGGCCAGAATTCACTTTTACTGGACAAAATTCATAACTAATTTAATATTAGGGCTATTTTGATTAGAATTAAGATGAGTAATAATGTCACGTTTGCGCTTCTTAGGAAAGATTTATTCTTTTAATTCGTTGCTATGAATACCTAGTTTCCTTGTTTAAGTATTTTCAGATATTTTTACGAGGTTTACCAAGTTTTAGATAAGTACCAATATGAAGTCGCGCTTTTTAAAAAAGTGAATATAATTATTATTTAGTTGCTATTGATACCTAATTTTGCTTAGCAACAACTAACTTTTATTAGTTGCAAATGTTTTGTTTGTGCTATGTACACTATTTAGCATGCGTTTTATTAAAAGATCCTCGCTTTGATCCTAGCTCACGAAAAGCAAAACTAATTTAAGTTTAATATGATTGATTATTGTTATTACACGTGCTATTACACGCAGCTAGATAAATTTGTTTTCCTGTAAAAAAAAAAAATTATATTCTAGCCTAATTAATTAGTGTTTTAATTAGCATTAGATTTTACGAGCGTCTACAGAACTTTTCAAATTTATATAGGTTATTATTGTTCCCATGCATTCACATTCACCAATAATCTTTGACAATGTATGCTACAAGTAGTACAAACTTAGTAAGTGGTAGGTCTTTATATTTAAAAATACGAGATACTTAATTATTGTTCCCATGCATTCACATTCACCGAAAATCTTTGACAATGCATGCTACAAGTAGTACAAACTTAGTAAGTGGTAGGTCTATATATTTAAACTGTTTATGTGCTTATAATTCTATACTTATGCACAATATAATACTTAAGTCCAATATAATTCAAGCGAAAGCAAACATTCCATGCTACAAATCCATGCATGAAGTGTTGACAAGCCATACTTCAATCTGATTGAATGGAAAACTGCAAACGATATAAAGTTAGCTAGTTTGACTTGGTGTTGAACCACAAAATGAGCAGCTCTGACTTGACTTAGTAGCTGTATTGTAATTCGGCAGTAGATTGTTGATGATGTTTGCAGATTTCTCCAAACAATCTTCTTTACTTGACCAGAGAATCCTGTCAAATAAAGTAGTTAATACAGGTAAGAAACAAACTTGCTTCTTGGACAATGCTTCTGTTTTCCAGCTTATCAGTAATTTATGTATATACGTTTTGCCAAGTTGTCCTAACATAACGAATTGAAAATATCATATTGTACTTTCTAAGCATCTACCAATGCTTGGAAAGTCGCTATTTCTAAGCATCTACCAATGCTTGGAAATTGAGGCCTGCAGAATAAGTAGTAAGTACTGTTCATGACTCACAGCTAGGCAAACACCTCTCTTTTGCCTAACATACATCATTGTATGGTGGGTATAAATTATTTCTTTATGCTGTTTACATTGCTTTTTAAGCGCTGATATTGAAGTTTGCTCATCTCATTATCTAACAAAAGAACCAACGCTTTTTCAGATGTATTATGTGAATGACCTTGTTCAGCATCTTTGTTATCAATTAACTTTTTTGCTGTCTGAGCGTCTTTTTTTCAACCGTCTTTCCACAGGTGTGTGCCTCTAGCAAACAATAATTCACAATAATATGAAGCTAACAAAGTTGCAACTTTTATTTTCTTTGTTTTTGAAGAGTCTTCAAATGGTAATGTAGGTCTTCCGTGTTGTTAATTTTTACTCTCCTTCATTAATCTGGTATTAAAATCATTTTCAAGCCAAGCTGAATTCTTCCTAATAAACTTTGCATCAGCTCGTTGACATTGAGTCCATCTTTTAGCATTATCAGAAATAAATAAATGAAATTGAATCTCAAACTTTTCGCCTTAAAACTTCAAATCTTATTCTTTAACAAAGTTGTATACAAGCATACTGTCTTCTTTTTTATGTATTGACAGACTGTTAAGCGTAATAAATTGGTGAATTTCATATATATATATATATATATATATATATATATATATATATATATATATATATATATATATATATATATATATATATATATATATATATATATATATATATATATATATATATATATATATGTATATATATATATATATATATATATA